CTATTTCCTTCGTAGGAAATATAAAATGATCGACATCATGATGACACAACACAAGACAGTAGTAGTATAAAAACCGGAGATATTACTAATAAATAAAAACATCATCATACAGGAATAACAGTTTTCCGTTATCCTAATATAGTTGTTGTAGTTAAATTTGAGGTGGTTGCCTATATCATGTCATAAAAAAAAACAATAAATGAGAAAAATATTTGTATATATTTTCTTCTTTTTTTTTTCATCCGTCAGGAAATAGTTGCAAAAATTGATACAACTTGAAAACATCCGATGGTGTACTACTGTGAGCAAAACGGGTTTCCTTCTTTTCTAAAAAGAAAAAGTTTCCTGTCTCTGATACAAAAAAAAAAAATATTGTTTTCATTTTATCAAAATTTTTTGTCTGTATATAGGTCAGATAGGAAATTTCTTTATTGATTAATGCGTGTATTCTCGAATTTCGAGATGAAGTAAGTAGCTTATTCTCATCGAAAATCGACCTCTTTCTGTACTGTAATACCGTAGATAAAGACTAAACATGTGCCTTTTTCCCTTCATTTTGATAAAAATCACAAATTTTTAAATATAAATTTTGTCTTAGTACAACATTTATATACTGATGGTTAGTTCAATCCTTCATAGATCTCATTATATCTGAGCAGTAAACACATTTCATGTTCTAATTGACAAAATTTCCTATTTCTCACTACTATTGAATACGATCATTTGTCAGAAGTCAACATGTATGTTTTTCATGCAGATTTAAGTGTGTCGTCATTACTTTGATTTTTTTTTACATCTATTTTTTCAACTAATAGTAAAATCGACACTTGTAAATTGTTATTATTATTACTGTTTTAGAACCACCGTCAAAGAATGCCTGGACTTCTGTTGGTGGCCATACACAAGGTAATTTTTGATTGTTTATGTAAATATTATCTCAAAGCAACAACTCTAAAACACTTAAAGGATAAAGCGGATTAAACAATCTATTTTTCTTTCTTACTTTATTCGTTTTTTCATTTGTTTATTCAAGTGTGAGAGTATGTATATAATTCATTGAGGTTAGCAACACGAAAATATCGATTTCTACTAATAAATGTTTTTAAACATCGAATTGTTGTTAGTGAACTGTGTGAAAAACGAACAAAACTTATAAGTTAATTAAGTAACTAAAAATATTACCGAGTGAAATGTTAGAGAATAATATATTTCTGTCATCTAATCCAGTATTTGAAGCTTATTTTTTTCTACATTAGCCAAAAAAAGCGAAACGATGGCTCATAAACGGCTCATGTTTAAACGTGAAGTTGAAATATGTGATTTTACAACAGTCTTAGAATAACACCAGTTTACATTGTCTATTATCTTTGTCGTTGAGCAATGATTTACTGATAGAAAATCCTCATTTTCTATCTTCTATGGAAGATCGTACTCGTTGTGAAATAGAGAAGAGTCAATCAACGATGTAGTATTTCTTGCTCTTTTTTTGATTTATTTTGTAAAAACAGATGGTTGAAGATGCTTTTTCAAGTTAAAGAAGTTCTATGTGTAGTATGTGCATGATGATTTATACTATTGTGTGTGTGATAATTGTTGTTCGAACGACACAAAGAGAGAGACAGAGAAGAAGAAAAAATATTCAAATGAACCGCAATTTCTCACAAGAAAAAAAAACGAAAGTCAACAGTAATCATGTGATTAATAAAATTAAATTAGGTTAAATTCAATCAAAAATTGTTTAAATAGTTATTTGATTGAAGCGAAAAAAAAAGGATAATAATTATCGCAATTGTCTCGTATATAATAACCCCATATGATGCATGACATGTACTAATATTTGTATTTAGGTTACTCTTCTTCATCTACATCGTTATCAGCTAGAATTAAAGGTGAATTTGAATCACAACATCAACAATGGTCTCTTGTTAAAGCTGACTCACCACATGGTGGACTAAGAGGTAATCACAAAAACATTTAAAAAAAATTTTTATCATTTAAAAATTGTGTTTTTTTGCTATTTAATTTCAGATACATATTCAACAATTTCTGGACCATCCAGCTTGTTTTCACATCATTCAAATCGTTTTGGAGGTGCTGCTGGTAAGACAAATTTAGTCTAGATAAATGTCATTTATTTCTATATCTTTCTTTGAATTGTGACTTTTATTTGGTTTTTTTAGGCACTGGCCAAATTCAATTATGGCAATTCTTATTAGAATTGTTAGCTGAACCAACAAATACAAGTATTATCTCGTGGGAAGGACAAAATGGTGAATTTAAACTAATTGATCCTGATGAAGTGGCACGACGATGGGGGGAACGAAAATCAAAACCAAATATGAACTATGATAAACTATCACGTGCACTACGTTATTATTACGATAAAAATATTATGACAAAAGTACATGGTAAACGTTATGCGTATAAATTTGATTTTAACGGTTTACATCAATTGAATCAACCAGCTATGCCTGAATCAGCCTATAATAAGTATCAACAAGACTTTTTAATGCGTAATTATGCATTCGGCTATGCCGCTCATCATACAGCACATCAAAAATTGACAGCTGTTGCTGGTTTAAGTCCAACAATGTCAGCCGCAGCGGCCACAAATGTAGCACTCACCTCACCATACACAAACTATTGGAATCCGAGTGGTTATGATTATAATTTTAGTGCAACAAATCCCTATTTACACGGAACATATTGGGCATCAAATCCTGTAACAAATTCGTCGACATTTAACGTACCACAAACATCCTTACCTTACTAAAATAACGTGCTAATAATTCTCTCTATCAAGTGACAATAAAATCATTTATCACATTATGTGTATATATTACTTTCGCGCTTCTTGTGTTTACACATGTTTTAATAAAACAGTGTTTTCGTTGTTTATTTGTTTGATTTTTAGTGAATTAAAACAGAAAGAGAAATTAAAAAGATTTGAATTGAAAATTGACATTCAACAGTTCAATGAAGACATCGTAACATAACTACAATATTTATGTGAGCAAACATCCTCTATGGATAGGACCTGTCACCATCATAACTGGACTGCTATTTATAATGCAAAGTTAGGTACATGTACTTTTTTATCCACTTATTTAGTTCAACCTACTGATCGAAGCGAGCACTAGGTTAACGTGAGCGGGATAAAATGTGAGATTGTCTATTAGGTTAATCAGGCAGTCAATCTACTAATTAATCCAGCAGATAGTCTTTTATAACCGCGCAGAATAAGCTTGACCGCTTGCTTCTTGATTGAATCACACGATGAGCAACGAGTTCAACTGCATCAAAAACCTAACCATCTAGCTCAACTGCGCATTCTTAGCTCATTTGTTTTTGTTTGGAATATGTCTAAAATGTTTAATAATAGACACAATTGCTTACAGCATTGTTCTTGTTGAGCTTTGACGCTTAACAGGAATCAAAGAGTTATAAATAGGTAGTAATTGTTGTGATTTATATACTAATCATACAAAAAACAAGGCTGAAAACATTTATCGGCCATGTTTAACCATCTAAAATTTCTTATCGATCTCATACGATGAATTATATAGTAAGCGTGACACGCATGATTAACTGGAGAGATTTATTCACTGCAGGAAAGAGCGTCATCATCAGGAGCCATTATTATTAATAAAATGCAGATGTTCAGTATAACCCTATCATTATTCAAGTCGTAGTAGTAAAAGACAAAATTGTTTTTCTTTCTGTTGTCAAAGACAGGTGGGTATGAACAGTCACAGTGTATAGCTAAAAGCAGATGATACGACGTTTTCTTGTCATTAGCTTTATGATAATGTGTTTAAACGATAAGTGTGAATGTCTTTAAACATATTTGTGTGCGTGTGTGTGGTTATAGTTACAACTTTAAACAATAGTGGTTATAGTAAAAAAAAATGTATATAGAAATTAGTGTCAACTAATTAATTTCTTACCGTATCCACACAATGTCAAAAGAGCTACATGTTGTGCTACTTGAATGTGTTCAGTTTGTTCATTCAATTAGTTCAAGAGAGAGACTTGTATTTAATGTATTATTTGTTAAGCTCGATTAAGTTTACTAAACCATCTTAAATTTTACATTTTTCAGCAGCAAGTTTTGATAATATATTATACATATTTTATTTTGATAGATGTTTTAGATCTGATATTTCGTTCTTGTAAAAACTAGCTTAAATTTTTGAACTGAATATATTTTCATTATTAGCATAAGTCTATATCCACAATTCGTTTATGTATATTCAGATTATGATGTTATTACTTCTTCTTTGCAACGATTTCTGAACGTAATTATTATTATTGGAGTTTTAATTCCATCCCTAACAGAACTGTTTTCTATATACACATATAGAATGTCATTTCCTTTCAATATATATGTGCAATCACGATATTTATCCTATCTTTACAGTATATAATTAATTGTTTCAGCATAACATCAGCAATGACAGTAATAAAGTTGATCTATGATTGAACATTCTTCATTTTCAAGAAATTCACAAAGTAGAGAAATATAATGCGAATCTCTTATATCTGCTGATGATATTAGCTGTTTAAAAGTGCATAAGCGACAGATCAATATCGAAAAACGCTATAATTTTTTATTTCTACTCGTATTGTGTTATTTCTAAAATATTTTCTTCTCATTTTTTTTAATGAACGCGCACACTCCACACTTGAAACGTTATGAGTTTTCTTTTGTTGCCATCAAACAATATTTGATAGTGTGAATGACACACACATCAACACGAAGATACAAAAGAACATTTTCACTTTGATTATTTGAAGAGTCAAAAAAAAACTCATGTTAACAGAATCTAGAATAAACGAACATTATGCAAAAAAAAAGAAACGGAAACGAAAAAACATTAGAATTGAACCGATGGTAAATTATAGTTGCTTATTTTCAAAACGAAATATATCATTAATAACACCGTGAATACCCTGTTCAATTGAGGACGGAAATAGTATCAGTTGGAAGGACTATCTCGTTAGGTTTCAACATTTAATAATCGTTGATATTCTGAACGTTGACCATGCGCTGTATCGGGCATCGTGCTATTTAATGATGTCTCTGTTAAACGATAAAATAAAGTCTAATACTTATTTTGTCAGATGTCACACATATTCTAACCTTCAAAAGCATTATTAGGTTCAAACGATGGATTTTGTAAGCGTGAATAGTCGTAGGAATCACCAGGTCGACGAATATGTAACGATTCACTACCAGTTTTGTTTATGCAATATAAGAGTAAAACAATTAAACTGATAAAACTTGCTATTAAAATAACTACCAGTCCAATATACACTGGTTTTTGTTGAAGAAAATGATATAAAGCATCATAGGATATGTGTGACTCAATCTAATATAAGAAATAAATAAAGTATAAAGTATAAATACAATTTCTTTACTAAATTCGCACATTTTTTTATTATCATATACTTACTATTGATTTTGATGTATTCTGAAACGTTGAATCGCATAATTCATCCGTATTGGTATTTGTATACCAGGATAATGCTGTCACACTAAAAAGTCAAATCAGTTTTCTCTGCATAAAAATCATTTATCTACTGCTTTTACGTATAGGGTCGAATCCAGAAAATTTGAAATTCTGCTACAGTGCGAAAGGGGATACGATGCGCGTCACTCTTTCAGCGCAAATATTATCGATTTTGACATTTTATACGTATTTTTACTGGCCACTCAACACTGTCCTCGATCTGTTCTGCTTCTCAAGTACTTTGGTTTCATCTTAATCAGCGTCATAGACAAGAAAGTATATCTCCTAAAATATGAAATATGTGATCTGCAGATATCTCCAGATTCTAAATCCCGAAACAGTTTTGAGGTATTTTCATGTGATTTCAATCAGCAGAAATTAATGAAAATTAAACTGCATATTCAACTCTTGATATTGAGTTTTAATAGAGCATCTCTTCTTCGTAAAAATCCTCAAAATGTCCACGTCATGCTGTCGTTTTTACCAACTTGCGCCATCTGGCGTTTATCGAAAAACTTATCTCTCTTTTGGATGCGAAAGATAATTTAAAATCAAAACGAAGACAAATAGTTCAATTTTTGGAAATGACGAAATATTGAGCCATGACCCAATGCGATTTGAGCTTTGGCCCGATACAAAAATTCTTTTGAGTGTTTGACCCAAAGATTCTCCTTCACATGCAAATTCTGAACGAAGTTTGTTCTAAGAAAAGGGTGACATGAGTGAGATACAAATCCAGAGTAAAGCAGCATGTGCTTATTGTTTATATCTTTGCATGTTCATATCTTCTCATATTAATTCATTTCAAAACCTATTGAACATGATGAGCAAAAAATTCACAACGTTTAGACTGTGAATTTTAGCAGGTAAGAATTTCACAAAACTTTACTCTTTCTCTTTCTCTTATTTGTTTTATTCATGATGATACATGTTTCATTCCTTACGCATATAACACTAACAAGCTGTATAAAAAAAGTGTTTAGATGGTTGAATAGTGAGATTTTTCTGTACAAAAAGGATTAGTGAGAATATGCACACATTCTTGATCCACACTAACGAGGAACACGGAAACTGACAGTATCAGAACTTGCAACGGTCGAAAAAATTTCCTGCCCAAGTAGGAACCATTCGGTCCACCTAGGTCCACCGATTGTTTTTGACTCTATGGAAAACGGTCCAAAAGTCTAAAAAATCCTGGTTAGATATCACCAGATGGAAAAATTATAAAAGCTTCTTCGATCAAAACCGATTGCAGGTTCACCTTCTCCATAGTCGATTCTTGTACGTGATAACTTTTGAATCGGGATATTTTAGAAAAAAGTTTCGACATCGTTTTGCCTCTGGCCCATGCAGTGACTTTTTCGAAATTTTTTAAGCAAGATCATGAGTAACTTTTTTTCTGAAGTACTCCGGTCCAAAAGTTATCGCGTACAAGATAATCGACTATGGAGAAGTCGAATCTGCAATCGGCTTTGATCAAAGAAAAATCAAAATTTTTCGATTTGGTGATATGCACCACTGCCGGCATTAGCGATGTAGAACCTAATCAGAGATCCAACCATCGGATTGGTTACGGGATAATTTATCGAGAAGTCAGCTTTCTGAATGTTGATTTTAGTTCGGATTACGTTTTCTTCACCCCAATATGTCTCTATAGTCGATTTATTCATTCAGTTTTATTCAAAGAGTTACGAATTCTCAACATTCTGTTTTAACCGAGGAGGAAGTTCAAATTCTCGATTGAAGGCAGATTCGCAGCTTATGTTCCACATTCATAACTTATGCTCTACTCGATTATATTCTAGCTACTTAGCAGAATAGTTTTTTATTTTAAATTTCACGAGTATAGTAAAGATTTTCAGTCTCTTTTTAGAAGCCTTGATGTTATATTAGGACCAGGATTTTTATTCAATCACAACAGCCGATCTCAAATGATTGAGTAAGATTAACGGTGATAAACAATACTTCTTTCCCTACGGCAGTCCACTTACTTGTTGAATAGCGATTCGTATTTACAACTATTTTCAATTTTTATTAGCATAGTTCTAAGAGCGTTACACTCTCTTGTACAATGTCGTTCAACAGATGTCATTGATCGATGACATCCCTAAAATGAGCAAACAGAATTTGTCTTATGAGTTTCGAGTTACTACCATGGCAATCTGGTAATGGCGCAGCCTCATCGATTCCTATTCGAGGTGACATTGAAGTACAAGTTTTAGTAATCTGTCCTATTGAACACAAATCTTATAAGAGACGAATATTTAATTCAAAGACAGTTTTCGTACCTGAATCTGACGCCAAGAGGCGTAGACTACATGTAAAAGTTTTGCAATTTCTTCGAAACAATCTTGAGATGCAATATTTTGTTGATGAATAGTGCAAAGTAACGGCATAATACTCATGGTGATCGAGATATTCTAAATATATAATTTCATATAAATAGCTTTGAATGTGAGACACTATCATGATTTACTTCTGATAATTGATCACACTTGTCAATGTACTGCTTTATTCTTGGTCGACATTGTTCGATGGTACAAAATGATGTTCCTTGTTTACGTAATATGTCAATTGTAAATAATAGATCTCTGTCATTTGAAACGTTATGCGCCAAGCACCACCATTCACCATATAGGCAAGTTCTTTTGATTTGTTCAACGATTCGTTCGCCAACTAATGCCTGAGGAACAAGTCCAAGTGATTGAAATTCAAGTACATCATATTCAAGTTTTCTATTCTGAAAATTATAATGGTAATGAATGCATAAATCACGTAAAGTTGAAGATTTATCACACTGTATTATTTTGGTCATAATTTCATTTTCACGAACAGTGTTCATTTCATTTAACATGTAATCAACTCGTTCTAGAGATCCATTATTAACAAGAGATGTATATGAAGTGGTACTGATTAATGTACTGGTGTTTATTATCCAAGTTGGAGTGACTGTGGTGTTTATTATCCAAGTTGGAGTGACTGTGGTGTTTATTGCTGTTATCGATGATAATGATGTTGGCAAAGTTTCGTTTTTGAATATGGAATTGTCAGGATTATGTGATATATTACTTCGTGATAAAAGTTTATCGTAAAATGAACTCCTATTGCCTGTTAAATTTTTGTGTTGACGATGGTTTTGGAAGATCTCTTCTAAAAATCGGCAAAAGAAACCATTACTATTCATACCAGTAGGCAAGGCTCATGGCGAGAAATAACTAAAAAAGCTCTGATATTTACCTCCTGTTAGTATGGTCTCTCGAAGGAAAGATACCTCACCTTGCGACTACCGTTATCCATGCAGGATGCTAACAAATGTGGGTTCCAGTAGGCCGATATCTTCCTTACAACTAACAAGATTCTAATATAGTCCCCGTCTCATTAATAATCATTAACTACAGCTCTAGACAAGACCAGCCTGCTTTCGCCCAACAATTAGAGTTCCTCATACACATTCACTAACCATACACTAGCTTTTACAGGAAACCACGACGACTAACCGGAGGAACTGTGTTGCACGTCACAAGTGCGTAGTGAGTATGCTGTCGAACGGGTGATCTGAGGCAGGATGAGGAGCACGTTGTTTTGTTTGTTATTATTGAGCAGTAGTGGCAGCATCTACATTTTTTTCCTTCAATACTGAACACTCTGGCGGTTAAATGCCTAGCACGTATGTAATAAAAATCTCAACTCTTATGTCTTCTCAAAGAAACATGTGATTTGGTGCCGCATGTAATCTCTTATAATCATAACTTTAAATGAAAAGATAGAAGAAGAAAGATAGAAATCCTGATGTTCTGAGGCTTTTTCTTATCCTTTTGAGGTCAATGTTTGCGTGTAATAGCAGGTCAAAAGCTTTTAATCCTTTAGCAAGATTTAACACCTCATCGAGTCAAAAATTCTTAATTCTATCGTTATCGATCGTGTTGAATTCGAAAACTCACTCAACACTTTCGTAAACACTGTTCTTAAACTTGGTGACATGCTGTTGCATTAGTCTTACTATTAACTTGAAATCAATCATTTAATGATATTGAATAAAAGTCAACCAGCTCTTTAGGCAAGGGGGAAAAAGCATACTTCTGTACTTCTGGTACTTCTCCGTACTTCTTGATACTTCTTCGTACTTCTTCGTACTTTTTTGTACTTCTCCGTACTTCTGAAGTACGAAGTACGAAATACGAAATCCCGTATTTCGTACTTCGTACTTCAGAAGTACGGAGAAGTACAAAAAAGTACGAAGAAGTACGAAGAAGTATCAAGAAGTACGGAGAAGTACCAGAAGTACAGAAGTATGCTTTTTCCCCCTTGTCTTTAGGTCATAACTGAATTTTCCCAATAAGAAATATACATACCAGTTGAATTTGTTGATTTTTGATGAACACCGTTTACAAATTGATTAGAAGAAACTAAAAATAGTGCCAAAAGGATATGATGACTAATAGTTATAGTATACATTGTGGCTGTACGACTTCAAATAAGCGTTTCATATTTTTTTTCTAGCACTTCTAAAGTCATTCAACTTTCCTTTGTGCTGATTTTATGTGTTAGCAATAAAAAAACGGGCGACAGCTGTTTGCTTTCTTTCGTTTCGGTACGAAAAATACAGCTTGGAAACGCATTTATAAAACAAAATGTTCATTTATATAATGGACTAAATTGCTGTTAAAAATTGATGACTCATTCGATTGTTAGAATCTTGTAGAGTACAACTACATCCGTATTCTGTAATACAACTAGAGTCATAGTCATACTTTTTATTAGAATTCACCAATTTTAGAAAGTTTTTACGATGGTTTACTGTTGTTGTTTTTTTATCCTATTAATGTAGTAAAAGAAAATCAATTTTAACAGCTGAATACATGAAGAGAGAGATTAACAAAAAAAAATAGATGTAAAAAATCAACTGTACAAAAAAGTTAGAAATTATTGTGACTGAAGAAGGTTCATTAATTACAATTGCAAAATGCAGAAATATATTTAAAAAATGCCTCTAAAAACTGATGCAGTTAGACAATTCATTCTTAACATAACACTAAAATACCGTTACATACTACTCGATTAGACAATTCGACACTACGTGAGACAAATGGATGATGCTTCCTGTCATCTGAGAAAAAGAGCAGAATAGACTATGCTATTTGTAATCGATGTGCTTTATATTCTGAGACGAGTATTTTTTTATTTTTCATTAACAAGATATCGTACGGTCCTTGAAAACCAATTTTCGAATGAACAACATCAATCGATGTTAATTCTTTTCGAAATATTTGAATGCGATTGTTACCTGCAAAGAAAAAATGATTTACCTTATAGCATAAAGATGGTGGAGATAGTTTTAAGACATTTTTTGTATTCGATCATGATAGTTTGATAGAAGGAAAGCTCAGAGACGTCGCGTTGTATCCGAAAATGTTTACTATATATGAGCGAATTGTAGAGGAAACGAAAACCTATTTTCCAGCAATCTATGCAGAATTTATATACACATTGCTTTTTGTAGGAGACAATTTCAGTTAGGCAAATCAGATATTGAATTTCTTAGACTATAATGATCAAACACAAAAATCAGAAACAAAACTATCTTTGTATTAAAGACGATAAGTATACCTTCATCGACAACATATAAATCTTCATTTTTTTCATCATAGGCAATACCCATTGGTCGAGAAAAATCACCCAAACTTTTTCCTAAACGGCCAATTGATGTTAGATGGTCACCTTCATAATTTGATATTTGTATTCGGTTATTTCCTGCAAAAAAAATGGCATTATACAACACAGTAAGTCACGCATCCATTGTTACACACGTACCCCAATCACTAACTGCAATTCGTTTTGTTGTTGTATTTACACATAAACATGCTGGACACTTGAATTGACCATTTTCTATACCTAATCCTCCCCAAGACAGTAGAAATTGTCCCGATTCGTTATATTTTAACTAGAAAATTGATAATGATATTTTAAAATTTTCTGTTATGATACATTATTAACACCTACCACTCGATGATTTCCAGCATCACAAACATAAATATTATGTTGTTCATCCGTGCAAACATCACATGGTGCGGAATATTGTCCAACATCTCTTCCATACTGTCCAATAACTCGAATTAATTTGAATTCTCGATTAAATACTTTAATGCGTCGATCACTTTGATCAATAACGTACAAACGATTATCACGATCAATATGAATAGCATAAGGATGTTGAAAACGAGAAACAGGAATCATTTGCAGTCCTAAAGTATTAGTGTTATTTTCGATTGGATAATATGCATTTTGAAATAATAGTGTATCACTCGTATAAGCAACAATACGATTATTGTATGTATCGCAAACATAAACAAGTTGATCACGGTGAGAATAAGCCATTGATGATGGATGCATAAATTCACCGTCTCTCGAACCACGTTTACCAATAATACGATTCAATGATGTTTTACGTTTTAAACGTTCACAACAATTTTCTAATGATGGACTAGAACGATAATGTAAACCATTTCCATAATCACCACTACAGTTTGACTGTAACGTTGATGTTGCACTAAAGCAACGTATTAATGGTGAATGTTTTGTAATTTTTTGAGAACAATGAATGTGTTCATCCGATGTATCTAATAATGCTGGAATGATGCCACCATTTGTTACAGTACGAGAATCTTGTTTTAATGTGATGTCACTTGATATTGGTTCAAGTTGTATACCGATTTCAACAAAACCAAGTGATATAGCATCATCTGATATATCTCGATTGTAAAATGATAACTATTTAAATTAATAATGAAAATAAAAAATAAAGAAAATTATTCAACAGACATAGTTCTAGAAATCTTACACGACGTATAGGTGTTTTAACAAGAAGTATATGACTTTCAAGCTCATTAACAGACACCACATAATCTTCACATTTTTGACGAATATCCATTGCTTCTTGATCCGTTTCTTCTTTACTAAAACAACAATACAATAATACAATGAGTTTTTAGGTTTTTATCAGTCGATAATTCATTGCTTTTCAATACTTTGTTAATTTTTCTTGTGATGATGAGCAGAACGTATTAATCGTAGATAAATCTTGTAGACGTGTATTTTTCTCATTAATTAATCTAAAATTATTAAAATTATTTTATCTTTTTTCAACTGACTCTTCTCTTGTCGGTACCTCTGTTCAACATCCATAAATTCTTGTACATTATGTAACAATTTTGTTTCTTCTTGTTTTAATTTCTCAATTAATTCAGCTACTTTACCACGAATTAATATTGATATATCTTGACAATTTTTAACGTTTTCTTCATGATTTTTTATATTTTCAACTGAATTTAGACGAAATTTTTTTTTAAAAAAAAACAAACAAACTAAAATTCAACATTTATAGTCTACCTTCTTTTGTTATTAATTTTTCTGTTTCTTCTTGTGTTTCAAGTAATTTTGTTGTGATATATTTTCGAAATTCATCATAATGTTGACGACGACATTTACGACAGATAGCTTCACGACAATGTTCACAAACCTATTTCATGTCAACACGACAATATTTAAATAAATGTTATTTTAAAAAAAATTCTGGAATGCAATACTCACTGTTATTGTGTCATCTCTCTTACATAATGCACATTTTGCTTTCAATGTTGGTCTTGGTTCTGTATGTGGTAGACTTTCTAGAAGATTGACAATTGTACGATTTACTTCAAATGAGCCAACACCAGCAAACGGAATACGATAACATCCACGACAAACTGGACTAGAAATATGTATAAAAATAAAAAAACAAAAAAATAAAACTATTATCTTAAAGATATTATTCTTTTTTTTTTCAGTCATTTTTCATACCATCGTCCCCAACGTTCATCTGTTATTCTCTCAAGACATGTTCGACAAAATGAATGTTGACAAGGTAACATGAGTGGTTCTCGAAATATTTCCAAACATATTGGACAAGTAATTAATTGTAAAATTGTTCGTGAACTTCGACTTGACTCAGTATTATCGACAACGTCAGACATGAGCTAGAAAAAGAAAGAAAAAGAGAAAGAAAAAAAGATTATCAAAATATTTTTTAAAATCAAATAATAATCATATAGATCTGTATATATACCAGTGAAGATCTTGAAGATTTTGAACTCCTAATAACGTCATACATTATACCATGACGTTGTATAGTGAACGATGTCATTTCTTAAAACTATATAAATACTTTGAACACATATTAAACTACTCAACATACATATACACATACATATTTTCTCTTCTCTCTTTTTTCTATCAACGCCATCATATCAAACAATTATGAATGAAATCAAAGGATTTTACATTCCTCGGGTTTTTTTTTTCAACTATTCTCAATATTACGAATGAATCTTATTCAATTGTTCATACATGTATGAGATGTCAAATATACCATACACATATATATACATATATCTACAGTTCTTCCAATATATACAACACAAGAGGATATTTTGTTCGATTAACGTCTATTATTATATAAAGAAAACGAGTGTGGTGATGAAAAAAACAAAAAATTCTTTCTTAATAATTTTTTTTGCAGGTGGTCTCGTGTGTAAAAAAATATTAACTTTGTATATACTTTTCATCAAATTCTAACCTTTTTGCCAAAATAAAAAGAAAAAAATAATAATAAAGACGAAAAACAATCAGCTGAGTAATATATAGAAGTATCCAAAAATTAACCATTAAGTCAATAAAATCAATAGAACAGTGGATAAATCAGTTTTAAAAAGAGAATGAGTAATAACTATATTTGCATATATGAGGTAAAATATTAAAATAAAACTGACAGATAATGTGTCTCATCAGTTCTGATAGTTGATTGTGTAACGATATAACTGTATATAACCTATGGTATCACAATTATAACCTAGTCATCATATTTTTGTATCAGTCACTTGTTATAATGTCAAACAAGAAAACTGATATAAATCAAGATGATGACCGTCGGTCATTTATTCTATATTATCATATAACTTTTAGATTGTTATTGTGAGTCTAACATATAGAAATCATTCATTCTTGTCATTCAGATAAATCAAAAAAAAAAACTTATTTGTTTTGATTTATTTTTGCTTCACTAAATCATTCTATTCTAGTTATATGTAAAATATTATGGAACAACTAGGCGATATATGATTAGATCATCACCTGAAAGAAAAATGATAAATTGGAAAAAAGAATTATAGAAACAAAACAAAAAAAAAATTATGTAAGAGAAAAAAAATGGAGAAGAAGCTTATGACACTGTTCAGGTATTAGATATTCAATTTATCAAAGTTTTTAATCTCCTTCCCCCACAGTGTGCACCCAGGCGGACATTTAACAAAAAAAAACGAAAATGTACTTTTTTTCCAAGTATAATAGTATACAACAACATATGGACATAAAAAATTTTGTTCTAACTGTAAAGGAACATGAGAAAATGCTAAGTCCAACATTATACTCTAGAAAAAACGTGTTCATCGTGTTTTCAGAGAACGAATTGAAGATCCCATTTAAGTTCTTTGAAATGTGAAGAACTTAATTTCTATTTTTCAATAAAAAAATGAGCATTTCACTCATTTCAGTTTTTCGGTTCATTTCAGTTTTTCAAAAATTTTGTTTTTCAAGATTTGGAAAACACAATATTTGTTTTCAGTTCTCTCGAAGTTGAAAAAGGAAACGAAAATCACATATTTTAATCGTTGCTTTTGTTTTGCGATTCCGAATTTATATAAAGGACATGATCTTTTCTAACAAAAGTTTAAACTTATTTTCAAAAAGTTCTGTTTATGTACACCAATGCGCACACTTCGAGAACATGTTTATTCTTGACAACAGAGTTCTAAAATTTAACTCGAATTCAACGAGTCGAGTACCTACGATGTTTGGAATCTGATTCGACCCGGATCGAATGAGGTTCCAAATGACGGTCGAGTTAGGATATGGGTTACATAGTTTTTTCTACTTGTGTAGGTTTCCAGTTGACAATATTTATACTCAATAAAAGAATAATTCTACATATCATCACAGATATTGTATTGATTAAAAATAGTTGGCTGGTGAAAAAGAGGAATTCAGATCCAGATTTTTGAAAAAGTCGAAGAACAGAAATGGGTTTTTCGACTTGATGTTTTGCTGAAAACTAATGTCCCAAATAGGGATCGAAAAAAATGAAAAACTCAATTTCTGTTCTTTCGGAAAATGAGAAAATCAGTTTTGCAGATTTTCAGAAAACTCACATCAGATCCCTCTCTATTTGAGACAAATGAAAAACACAGTTTCAGTTTTCTGAACAAGTCCTCGTTTTTAGAGTGTAGCGTGAAAACACTGGTGCATCAGATAAACATTTTTTACTATTACTATTATCCAGGAAACATATGGGAAGAAATGATATATACTCTGAATCTAAGTCATTCGCGCTATCCAGTAGTAAAGGAATTTTTTGTTTTGGATCAAAAGTATCGGAGAGAAAAAATTAATTTCTAAGCTAACTAATTTTCTGAAGAGCAGTGAGTGATAAGTATAATGAGAGCGCAAAGTTTCACAAAAAGCTAACGGAGACGAAACTTTGCCGAAATGTTTGTTTATGTGTCACTACTACGAGATTAAAGAAACTTAGCATCATCTTTCCTAAACAAAACAACAGACTTTCCAAAATTCTCCAGTTTTTCAAGTAAAATCCATTTTTCTCAGTTTAGGAACACTTAAGAAAAAATAAGCTTTGGATGGAAAAAATATCCATTGAAATTTTTTCCATGAACCTGCACGACAAATCTTCCGAAAAAAATGATTTTTCTGAAAACATTTATTACTAATATTGATGAAAAAATGGTTTGGGTGCAAAATATTCTGATGTCCGCCTGCTATTAGAAAAATGTATGCTGTATCTTCCACCACCATCATAGTAAAAAGTTTTCGTTCCTGATTTTGTTTTTAATGTTCAAAAAGAATTATAGTGTCGAAAAAGTTAATTTTCATCGTTTTCCTTGATTTGTGAGCAAACTAGCTCGAATTTTCTCAATGTTTTACTATAGACAAAAATGTGGTATTCTGGGGGAAAGTAGCTATTCTATTCAACGTAATAATCATTCACTAAAAAAACAGAAAATGTCAATTGCGGCTTGATTTTCTAAACGTGAATACCCACTGTGTATGGTGGAATTGGATTGCAGATCTCTACTTTCCGTCTTCCCTTGTAAGCAAAATTAACCATCTGTAAACCTTCCGTACTTCTCTCTCTTTGATTATATAATATCTGAACAATTCCTATGTTCTCAAGGGCATGATTTAACTTTTCTTTTTAGGACATCTGAACACCAGAGCAGAATAAAACAAAAAGATGATCTTATTGACCTTAACATAATCAATTAATCAAAATTAAAAATTTTGATCAAACGAGACTCTTGCAGAGCTGAAAATTAGACTTTTTCAACTAGAGACATATGATGTTGATCATACCTTCTGTACGCTCTTATTACCACTTTTGAACTCATGTCTGAATAAAATTTTACTGAATTGGAAATCAGTAGACAAACTAGATCATTTAGAAGTTCTGCTTATTACGTAATATAAACTCCTCATCCACAATAAAATAATTGCATCTTGTTAGTTCATTATTAACACACACACACCCATCCTCCTCTTTTCGTGTTAAATTGTACACGTATACTTATAATCAACGATTTTTAAAGTGTAAAAACTGTCTATTGAACTCTTATATATGCAAGACTTGAATGATACCCAACATACAAACAATAAAAATAGTATTAGTACGCATTTACATACTTTTTTTTCATCCTTATCAACTTTACCTTTTAAATGCATAGAATGAGACTAATGTCTGAGAGTTATTGTATGATCTTCTTTAATTATCGTTGTTGTGTGAACTGTTCTATATGTGTTACCATATCAGCTATATATGCATATCATATATTCACTAATCAATTGTTAGAGTGGCGATGATAACAAAACTTTTTCCTAGATGAATGTGAGGTGTGTATAATAAAACAAAAAAGTCGAAAAAATTCTATTGAATTAGTGAACGACAAAAAGATCATTAGAAGAATACGCATTCTTTTCTTGTTTCTCTTTATCTGATTGTTTTATAAAATAAACAGAGAATAAAAACAGATTAAAATGTCTACAATTTAAGAGCAAAATATGATAGACAAAAAACAATATTCTTTATCAGAATATCGATGTTTTCGCTACGTGTAAAAGTTCACTTGATAATCAGGTAAACGGCTTGACCAGCTAACTCTGCTATCGAAGTGAAATTTCGTAACGATTTTTTCGCATTTTGTTTCTCTTATAATTTTCGAGTAACAAGATGCTCAGAGATCTGGAGCAGCTCAAAATCTTTAGCACACTTTTTGTTTAGTCTGAGATATTCCAGATCTCGAAAATTATAAGAGAAAAAAACTGCAAAAAAATTGTTCCGGTAGCAGAGTTGGCCAAGTTGTAAACAGACTGTTATTTTAGATTAAAGTAACGTAAGATGAAATAAGCGATATCAAAGATGTGTGTGTATGTTCAACAAAGAAGAGTCATTGAGACTTACCTCAACTAATGAATCCCTTGTATAAGCGCAACAACTACGAATAGCCATATTTTTAGTTAGGCGATGGTCATTTTATTATTTTGTTCAATAAAGATTTTCGAGTTGTATGTGGCAGAAAAAAACTGTATAATTGATTATTTGATATATAAAGGAAACAATAGTAAACACTGCGAGTTATCATATAGATGTACACTTGTGTATGTGGATACTCTTCTTTTCTTTTCTTTACCACAATAAAGATATAAAGAAAAAAAGAAGAATATTGCGTAGTAGATAAAAATGTTTTTCAACACTAATATGAACATTGAACATTTTTCTCGAGCTCCAAATGATAATGATTTATGTGCCTTTCTTCGATACTGGAACAACGTTTTATTTTTCAACTTTTAGATAAGAAAAGTACTTGTAACTCAAATAAGCAAAAATCTTATGATGTTGTTATACGGTTATATACCATCAAGACACGCTACAAGGACTATTCACCCCAATTTATGAATTGCTGTGGTTTACTTCATTCTAACTTGACCCTGTGAATTAATCTTATTTATCGATAAGAAATTTCAAGTGTATGTTTAAAAGATATTTTTGGCTTTGATCAGTGTTTTTATCAGGGGAATAAGTAGAAGGAAACATCCTTCGATGGAATTTTTGATATGCAGTTTCGGAACCCATAGAAAATTTTAACCCCAAAGCTATACACATCACTCTATAAAGTTATCCTTTCTCCTTATAATACGACAAACCATAAGACCTTGTGACTTGAAATCTTATGAAAATATAGTTCTTGTAAATACTGATTATCTGCATAGTTTCTATCCCGTAACCCTTTACTCGGTCCCACAAGTTGTTGCGAGCATTTGCAGAAATACTGGAGAGGATAAACGAAGCCACTTCGTTTATTTACTTTTTGAAACGTTTTACATCTAATGATTAGATGCAAAATGTTTCAGAAAGTTGTTTCTAGCAAACCGCACGAGCTCCCGATTGATAAAAAGAATATTTTTTCCCGTTCCTCTGTCTTCAAGATATATTACATACAAAAGTCAAAATATTGAATTTCGATCTCTTTTTTCTGTCTGCATGCATGATACTTTCTCGTGACATGTAGTATGATAAATATCTATTAAAGTATTTACAGTTCAATTAAATGACTTTAAATATTCCATGAGAATTAGGTAGATAGGATTTCGAAAAAAATAACATGATCACTGAAGGGATCTGACTACTAAAAGTAGAAAAACTGAAAAATGACTTGTTTCAGATACATATTTTATTGTTGCTTACGCATAGGTGATGTTAAATATAAATACAGACATTATTAGTTGTTAAAGAAAGATAGATTTCATTTTTATAAAACTACCAACTTGTTTGCAAGACAAAAAAAATTGGATTTTTCAAGTTCGTCTCTTTTTGTACTTTTCTGCAATCAAGTTGACTATGGATCATCTTGACTGTTAACACAACAAAAATTCAATATGAGCCGATTTCAAGTTCATTTAATATTGAATTGTATTGTTATCAGTTGAAATTAGTCGATGAATGTCTGACGTTGATTTATTTCAATAAACTATTCATGTTAATAGTGATTTCGACTTCAAAAAGGATTTTAACGGTTTAGTGATGCTTACACACACGCCTTACCCGATCAGTACCGAAGTAACCAAACTATCGTAATTTCACATCATTTGTTTCGAAAAATTTTCGCTTTTGGCAAGCGGAATAACCAGATTTCTCCTTTGCACAGCGCTCACCATATTCAGCATTGCGTGAAAAAAGTGGCTCTCCTATACTTCTAATTTTTTAATAAATAAATTTTGTTTTACAATCACTTTTTTCGCCACAGAAAAGCTGAACCTTTGGATACTTGAACTGGTCTTTACTACGCGTGCAATCCTCGAGATTGCCTTTCTATAACCTTCTCTCAACACAGTTGAGAATATATATGTCATCAGGTGGTCTATAAAAAAAAGGAAAAAAGGAAAGGAAAAGCCATTGTCTGGGACAATGTGTCTTTGACTTAGACAATGACTTTTCCTTTCCTTTTTTCCTTTTTTTATAGACCACCTGTCATCAGCTATCACCAAAATAATTCGGAGATTCGACCGGCAGTGACGATCACCTATCCGCTCACTAGTCGTCATCCTGACGCTTAACCAGAGAAAAGACAAATTGATTGTCATAATTTCTCTGAGTCACGCCAGTTTAGTGCAGTTAAAGAAATGATGATCATTCAGCAAGTCACAGCGCCATCTAACACTTTTGTTGGTTTTTCATTGCGAAAATGAGCCACCCATTATAACTGATTTTTGTTTATTCCGTTGTCTTTCTCTACCACTGTCCCGAAATGTTGTTTCCTTTTAACTCCAAATAGTAGCTCCAATGAGCCACGATCAATGCGAATTGATGTGGACTGTCTTTCCCTGGAGCTAAAAGGAAACAATTAAATCGTCCCGAAATGTTACCGTAAATATTTAACAAAAAATATCACGCTAAAAATGTGACAACATCACAGTAAAACGTACCTTTGTCACATTTTAGTATGACATGATATTGTTACACGTTTACCGTAACATTTCGGTACAGTGTGTCGTTTTTATCTCGTTCTATCAGGTCATGTCTTTACAATAATATAACACACAGTATTTACTTTATCTGCGATAGTCATTTCAATTGATATTTGTCATTTAAAAGGTAAGAAGTGTATTTGTTGTACGATTGAATTGGACTACGAAACGATATCACAGACCGACACAAGCGTACATAAACAAACTAACTCAAACTTTATTTCATCTTCCAAAATATCTTCTAAATTGTGGGAAATTATAAGTAATGTAACAAGAACTCTTTTTCACATTCTGTTAACTTTTTGTCGCTCTTTATTCTTTGTCGAGTTTTTTTTGAACAATGATGATTTGTTTTCAATTACAGACAAGTTCTGGTGTATGCTTCTTTCAGTTTTTTTTAGAATGCAAAGGTTTTTATTTTTTTCATCTTTGTTTATTATAGTTTATTATCTGTATAAAGATAAAAGTGAAACAATGGCGACAATATTACAGTTTGGAAAATCATTACTCAGTGCTAAATCAACGGTTATTGAAGGCACTGCAACGAAACCAGCATTTTTCGATCGTCAGTTTACTGATATTAAAGGTGGTCAATTAAATACAGAAGAATTAAAAGGAAAAGTGATTTTGCTTGTCAACACAGCATCGGAATGTGGTTATACACCTCAATTGGTAACATTACAGCAATTACAAGAAAAATATGGCCCAAGAGGTTTCACAGTTCTGGTAAGTCAACTGAATCTTAGAGCGTTTAAGAATGTTAGATTTGCAAAGAATCAACTGTGTATGTGAGCGCGACTCATTGAATCGAGAAAATCTCTAATTGCGGCACAAGTCTTTATTAAGAATATAAGCTCTTTTTTATTCGTTACAGGGTGTACCATGCAACAATTTTGGTGGTCAAGAACCAGGTCAAGAAGAACAAGTATGTACATTGTATGAGAGTAAATATAAAACTGCTTTTCCGTTAACAAATAAACAAGATGTAAAAAAGCCGTCCGAAGTCTTTCAATGGATTATTGATGCCGGTGGAGAGGTGAGTAATATACTTAAATTTCTTACCATACTAATCCACTTAATTTCTTTCCTGCTTCAGAAAATACTTCCAAAATGGAACTTTCACAAATATTTGATCGATCGCGATGGACATTTAATACACTCCTGGAATTCACGTGTTACACCATTAGATAAAGAGATTACGGATGCTATCGAAAAAGTGCTTTGAAAACGGATTACATGACATTAACTACTGTAAATTTTACAATGTTTATTTGTTTTTCTTCCTATAATTCTTTCATATTGTTGATTTTAACATAATCACCTAATATTGAGCTTACGTTCATAATTATGTTTTTGTGAGAGAGATTAGAAAGAAAAATTGTAATAACCTTTGTTTTTTTCTAAAGATCATATACAATCTGTTTTTTGCTATATGAATTAAATTTGTTTTTTTTGTTCTTTGGTGACATTTACAGTAAAATATACTAAAAAAATGTAGTAAAGCTAGCTGTAAAATCTTTTCTACTTCAAGATTATAAAATAAAAGAACTAAAAGTAGCTGGGAACATAGCAGTTTCATTTACATCGAATCAACTTGTTCAGAGAGAAACTTATGCACTGATTTCCGCTAGTTTTTCTCACTGTGGATCGAATGTGACGTTTTACACTTCTCAATTGTGCTGTAAATAATCGACAGTTATTAATCACTAAATATCATATTCAGCATGTTTCTTTTCTTCTTGATTTTTTCCAATGTAGACACTATGCAATAATCTATTCGATACTATATCTGATGATTATTATTGTTTTCTGACATTAATTTGTTTACTACACTTTTAAACATTGCAACGTCAAATAAGTGTATTTCATCGTTTGGGCAAATATTCTAGTTTTGTTAATCAATTCACTTAATTCTAATGTTCTTCTATCATAATAATGCAAATAACTTTTCTACTTCACGCTAGACCTGGTTATAAAATCGAAAAAATTGAAGCATGACGTTTTTATCTACTTAATAATCTGTTTTTTTATGCTTGTTGTGATATTCTCAATAATATTACGTCTGACATCAGCGATATCGATCCATAATTTTAGTTTTTGTTGTTTTAATTCATTGACAATGGGATAACACGTTTATTTATCTTCATGACAATAACTAATGAATAATTGGAGAGAATTACTTTTATTAATATTGTTACTGTAAATTTAGAGAAAAAATATAGCTTGAAATATTTCTGCATGCAAGCAAATATCAATCAATTTTGTATATGAAATTGAGTATGACAATTTTTTTGACCAAAGATCACAAAAACATGAAAACATTGCTTTTTAACAATATTATGTGAAAAGAGGATATTTGCCAAGTGATTTGGGCGGTACGTAATTTTATTCGCCATAAAAGCTGCACTGAATGCGAAATAAAAGTCTGTTTTAAACGTTTACGATTCAGAGAAAAGTCCCAGAAACGTATCGGAGTTGGTTTGCCAGAAGATTGATTAAAATCAACTAATCGGGTTCTCAGTTGAAATAGATGTGTCTGTTAAAGTTAGCAATAGCAGCGTACAATTCTACCAAATAGATCTCTTTGGTCTGTAGTCGGACTTTGATTGACATAAACCATTAAATATAAATGTTTGCTGAACAGCCACTATCTGACGTAAAAATATCATCTGATTTATTAAATTTTCAACGACCAGTCTCATTTCATTTTTCTGACTTGTTGTTTTTACAGCCGCGCACATATTATTTATTGCATAGGAAAACATTGATAGTTTGCACAAACACAATTTGAGAGCGTGTCTGCATTTGTCATTAACAGTAGTATTGCTCTTTGCCATGCTTGTTTTACTTATCTATATGTTATTAATCCAAAAATACTTAAATATTTAAATATAATAATCAAAGGCAGCAAGCCAAAGAGAACTGTATTCTTACAACAGGCAAGACATGTATTATATGTAAATGATGTACTTTTGCAGACTTTGATGTAGGAGCTTCGTTGAACAAGAGTAAAACTAGGAATTGAGAGATCATGAATGTAGGAATAATTTTGGCAATTTTGAATAAACTATAGTCGCAATTCATGATACTTCTTGATGTTGAAAAATATTGATTGACCGTGTTAAGACAGGCCAGTGCTAATGAAATTAACATACATGATTGAGATAAATACCGGCGAATTTTACACTATTGTTCGAAGACGATCGTTAGATCAATTTGAAATCCATATCCAACTACATGTTTAAAGAGTATGATATTTACTAATGGTTATATAATCAAATATCATGAACATGGTGAGAAATGAAACAACATACTGGTTTTGAAAACCAAAACATGCATGTCAAGCATCAATGACACAACTTTTAAGTTTATTATCATAGAAAAATATAATAACCGATGAAATTGTATTGTTGTAAAATGTAAAATCATAGAAAAAACAAAACCAGATTACGTGATACGTATGTACACATGGAAAAAAAGGATTTAATGTTGTGACCATTTTATCGATTTAATATCGATACCTTCTTGTACCATTTCCCATAACGGACTAAAAGAAAAAGCAGAGAATTTTGTTTTATCTATCTGAATATTTATTGTTTATGTTTTATTTATTTACCTCATCTCACGTAAACGTTTAACATGTTCAACCGTTTTTTCAATTGTATAATCTATTTCTTGTTCTGTTGAAAAGCGACCAATGCCAAACCTTGAAATAATAACAATAATAACATGGTTTCTTCCGAAAAACGTTATTCTCTACCGTATAGATGAATGTGCTAGATCATCATCAGCACCAATGGCACGTAATACATAAGATGGCTCCAATGAGGCAGACGTACAAGCACTAGAATAAAAAAACGATGGAGTATCTGTTTCATAGAGTTGAGAAACAACAAAGTATAATATCTGATATGACCTTAAGCACTGATGATCCATGAGTGCTTTGAAATTTACCTTCCTGATGATAGTGCAATATCTTTTAATGCCATCAATAAACTTTCTCCTTCAATGTAAGCAAATGATAAATTAACACATCCATCATATCTCGCTTGTGCATCTCCGTTTAATATGACATTTGTACATCGTTTAGAAAGGCCATCAATAAGACGTTTAGCCAGTTTAGATATACGTTGTTGATCATACTAGAAATGACATGACTTATTTGTAATAGTCTTTTATAACACATATTATCTTCTTTATGTCTATAGATGAACAAAGACAACTCACACTCATTTCTTCTTCGGCTAATTGGCATGCCGTACCTAATCCAACAACTAATGGTGTCGGTACTGTTCCACTTCTCACATTTCGCTCTTGACCACCACCAGTTTGAATAGGATCAATTCTTACTCGAGGTCGACGTCGAATATACAAAGCACCAATACCTTTTGGACCATATAATTTATGACCGCTAATAGACATTAGATCAATGTTCATATCATTGACGTTGAGAGGAATTTTTCCAACAGCCTGAGCTGCATCAGTATGAAAAAAAACTTTTTTCGAACGGCAAAGTTTACCTAAATATAAATAGTACATAGTGTGACAAAAGATTTTAATGAATATACTATACATAGAAAAAGTTACGCACTATTAACTTACCAATTTCTTTCACCGGTTGTCTGACACCAATTTCATTATTCACTGTCATTATAGAACAAATACTTGTATCTGGTGTAAGAACAGATTCAAGTTGCTAAACAAAACAAAAATAAGAATAACATTTAGCTAGACATCTGTTCTTTGTCTAAAATAGACTCTTACTTGTAGATCAATAAGACCATTCTGTTGTACTGGTAAATAAGTTACTTTAAATCCTTCACTTTCAAGAACACGACACGAATCTAGTACGCATTTATGCTCCTAAAAATAAAAAACTTAACTTTGAAAGTAAAATATTTGGTTCACGCTTACAGTTTGTGTAGTAATAACATGTTTCTTCTTTTCTTTATAAAATCGTGCAACACCTTTCACGGCGATATTGTTCGACTCTGTTGCACCACTTGTAAATATAATTTCTTTTGCATCAGCACCAATTAACCGGGCAACTTTCTAAATATGCATGATTATTTTTATAGTAAATATTGAGAAGAAGGTGAATGTTATTACCTCTCTAGATTCTTCTACTGCTTTTTCACTTTCCCAACCATATGCATGCGTTCTTGAGTGAGGATTTCCATATAAATGTGTCATAAACGGTAGCATAGAATCAAGAACACGTGGATCCTATAATGATTACATTAACAACGTGACAGACTAACTGACAGTATTTAATTCTCTACAGTTTTTGGTCAACTTTTCCACCCACCATTCTCGATTATTTCTGATTGTACAGATTTGAGAAAAAGATGATTCGAAAGTAGAAGCATCGTACATGACACAACTGAAGTTAGTTTTCGGATATTTGCTTTAGCTATCCTATAATTAGTGCCACGAAATGAGTATACTTTTCAGAAAACTCTATCGGTTCTCCTACCAGATAACTAATCGTCACATGATATCCTGCGTAGTGAATATATACTATAGTAGCTTGATATGATGAAAGCTATAGCAGAATGTATGATAGTATAATGACTCAGCTGATATAATAATGTGAATAATATGCTGCAGAAGATAAATGTAACTGAAAACATATACAGCAGTTTACTAAGCGTTACATCCACTGTACTGCCAGAACGCTAGAAGCTAGCTGGTCCCATTCGCGTTTCGCTCAATCGGCATTAGTATCTTTTGTTTTTGGAGCTTTAAAAGTTAGAAGTAGAGAATTGAATGGCGAGTATTTATTTCGCACACTATTACTCTTACCATTGGTGTTGTGGCTTGTGCATCCAAATACAATGGTCGAAATTTCATTTTTTCTAGTTCTTGATATTTTTGTTGTTTTAATTTTTTATCATCTGCATCTGCTTGATCTTTTTCAGGCGATGCAGCAGTGGCCGCTTCTTGACTTAATAAACATCGTTGTTGTTGTGAAAGTCGCATATGACGATTCGCAATGAATGAACGAAATAAGCATGAAAAGCGTGGAGTATCTTTTAGTATAAGCATCTAGAAAAAGAAGTGATCAAGGAATCATCAATTATTCGGGTGAATTAAAGAACAACTTATTTGTATTCTCATCTATAAAACAAAATTGTAAACTCTCCTTTGCTTTCATTAAATATCAACTACGACAATAAAATACAAAAAAAACCAGATACACATAATGACATAAAATAACAGAAAGATAATTATTGTATTACATTTGCACTAGATGCCGTTATCACCAACAGATGTCAGACTAACGTGGCTGGCAACTTCAAAACTCAACTCTGTCTCGTATGTTTTAGAAAAAACTGTTGTTAATCAACCTTCTCATTGTCATTTGAATGAATTTACTTAAATAAATCTCTGAATGTTGCTGTCAAACTACAACTTTAAATTTTTGGATTTTCAATCTGTGAAATGTTGTCAAGTTGTCTGCTATAGCGCACGAGTTACTTATAAATGGTTATAACTTTAAATACGACGGTCTTGTTAAAATGCCACTATATATAAGGAAATCTGGCTTTGCCACTCATGACTCGGCTACTTATTCAGCACATTTCTACACAAATATACACAAGCTGTTGAAAAGTGGTTGATTATGAAAATTTGTTTAACCATATCGTACTTAATGTCAAGTCTATTATTTTTCTTAAATTCGAATGTTTCACTTTTCGATGTCTGATTATTTTATGTCTATCGGACTATAATTATACGAGAAAAATAGATTTTGCACAATTACAAAGGGCATTTTTTTTACATAAATTAATGTATGCCATCCTTCTAGTAGACTTTGCTTCAAAGTCAACAGTTAAACCAACATGTTAAGAACGTTTAAGAACAAAAATTTGAAAAATTATCGATTTTAATATACTACATAAGGTAACAGAACAAAAAGATAAATGAAAGTGTCAAGAATTTAAATGAAATCTTTCCGAAGTATCTAAGATTGCTTCTGACTATGTACGAAAGGAAGTATCTAAAATTTTACTAGGCATCTATGTGAATTAGAAAGGTAATGATCTTTTCCGAGAAAAATGTGCTCGATTTAATAAAAGATTGATAACTTCATACTGTACACATCAATGGTATAATGATATGTGCGCACAAAAAAACTCTTCACATCCGTTGTGATCAGGTTTGGTCAACTCAAAACCTAAGAAATCAGAAAAAATGCGAAAAGTAAAGTGTCAAAAATCAGAAGATGTAATTTCGTTTGCAAACTCATTACCGACAACTCTGTCATTCGTGAAGATAATAGTGTTATGATTGGAGTCGAGAACATCCAATTAAATCAATAACTCAAGTAATGTAGACATACATGAAGATATTACATAAGCCCTTTTCCCAGAAACCATCTTCTCCAGCACTAATTAAAAAAGTTAAAAATCAGAAAGAATCTCCAAAATCTGAAAAATTTCGATAAATCAGAAGAATTGGCAACTCTGGTCGTGATAAACAATATATCTAATTTCTTCTATCATACTCATTTAAAATATTTAATCAATAAACAAAAAGAAATAGACAATCACACGGTTAACACTAAAAAGAACTTTTTTTTAAAAGAAAGAAAAACACAACTGTCCAAAACGATAAAAATAAATAAACACACACACAAGTCCCCTATCAGTAAGAAGCAGACATTTAGACACTGTATAAAAAAAAGAAGGTCGTCAACAACAAAAAAGAGATTCGCAAAACTACCCATACCGTGATTGAGTTTATAACAAAAAAACTGAGTTCTCTTTTTGATTAAAGACACAGTAACAGAAACAATGGAAGGCAAAGACAGAACCAAAAATAAATCTTAATAAATAAAACATGAAAACGAAACAATAAATGGAAACAACAACAAAAAAATAATTAACATGATTTTTATTTTCGTTTGCTACATTTTCGATGTTACTCAAAAATTTTGATGGCAAGCTAAGAAGATGCTTTTGATTTTGAGATAATAGTAATAGTAATAATAATAATAATAATAATAATATAATAATAATAATAACAACAAAATGGAAACAAGAAATTTTGACAAGGAAAGAATATTACAGATATTTTCTAGATACACGTTCTTGACGATTCCTAAAAAAATAAATTAAACAATATAATCAGTTATCTCGAGCCAATTGAAGTATCTATAAGAATTTTATGCTCAATACTCTTTTATTTAAAGTCACGCTTCATTTTCGATATACTGAATACAAAGTTATCCTCTACTTTTGCTCTCAATTCGAAAAATATACATTCTAATTCAAAAATATCAAAAAAAACATCGCTTATAAGTTTCTATACGGTATTCTACGTTGTACAAACCAAAATCTAGTATTTGTGCTCTCTTTCATCATATGTGTTTGTGTGAAGTGTACTTACTTGTAAATAAAATAACCAATAATAACAACACATTGCACTACAATGATTGATAAAAATAAAAATGGACCCATACAAGTACCGTTGTCTGATGTTGGACACTTTATCTGAGTCTAAATGATTGAAAAATGAAATACGTATTTCATAATCATAAAACTATGCTCCACTTACAGTTCCCCGTTGCATTAAAACACCTGTTTCTTGTTTAATTACTTTAAGTGCATCTTTAATTTCATTTAGTGCAGTGTTATCCAACGAACCGCCTTGATTAATAGTACCAGTAACTTTACCACCAGCAGAGGCTTGAGTTTGTAAGTAAGTAACTTTTTGTTGTAAATCACTGAGAATTTGACTAAACAAAGTATTTGATGAAAATGTGAAGATCTGCACGCTGATCGATTTTATACCTCAGACTTTGAACTGTTCTTGTTATATCACCATGAGAAGTAATTACACGATTTATATCTTGAACACGAGCCACATCCGATGGAATATTACCACCACCCTTCAATTCCATAATTAATTAAAAACTGAATTTTTTAAGTACAAACCATCTGGCATCTACAGATGAGCTTTTTTTCTCTCCATGTCCATAAAACATTCATCATTTGCTCAAATTTCTGCAGCTATTAAAAGCTGTGCACAAAAAAATTTAGTCTTGTGTTACCTGTATTCCAGTGGGAACTGGTTGATTTGTCCCTTGTAATCGTTCGACTCGTCCTAACATCTCGGCCATTTTTCTGTCGATATTTGTCAATGCAAAACGTATCTGATCTTGTCCTTCTAATATTGTGCGAAATTCGCGATCATATTCGGATTCATACTAAATGTAAGGAAATAAGTTCAATCAGGAGAAAAAGAGAACAGTACAAAAAAGTATATACCAAAGATTTCTCATCTACTGGGGGTGTTGCATCAGGATGGTCTTTTCGATAGCTAAAATAAAATGCTATGATGTAATCGATAACATGCTACTCTGAAAAGAAAATATTCTCTACAATAAGATAATTCCCAACCCCTAGAATAGTAGACCATAATGGTTTTGTACATGACACTTTTTTGGTCGAAAAACACCCTAAGGATCATAAATTTCGCTTTAGGCTGGTCTTCTATACTGAGAACAGGATTAGCAGACGACTGTAGTAATTGTACTGCAAATATTTTCTTCTATATAAGATGTCCGCTCTTCTAATAATGATATCAATATGCATTTGTCTGTGTATAAAAAGGGATTGGGTGACGTTCATTAAAAAAACTTTCATTAAAACGTTTTTTTAATGGAAGTTCCGGAACTTTCATTAAAATGTCTCCTGCAAAACGGTTGTGGCCTAGAGTTTTTGATGACACAAGAATTTCATTAAAAATTTTAATGAACTTCCTTTTAATGAAAGTTTTTTTCATGAAAAATTTGTCAATGAAACTCCGATATTCCATAAAAAGCACTGCTAATCAGGATTTTCTCAGATTCCACTTACTCTTCACGTTGTTTTTTCAAATCTTCCTCATATTTTTCGTATTCTTCACGATATTTTTTCATTTGTTCGTCTGTTGCTTGATTGGCCATCTACACAGATGAAATAGTTTCAAGAATAGTAATAATAGCGAAAAGATCTTCGCAACTTACTGATTGTTTATCAACATACGAATATGATAAAAATTCTAAAACATCATGATCATCGGCTAAACCACCTATGAACAATAAAATCGATAATATAGTGGTACATAGGAAATAGCAGAATTCAATGCTTTCAACCTGTGGCAGCTGAAACGCCAAGATAGCCAATTTTTGGTAAATTTGGTTGTTCAACTCGTGTGCAAAATTCAAAGGCGTTATCATCTTGAGTTAAACCATTATTAACATACAACTGAAAATGGAAAACAGCTTCAGATGAGATGAACTGCTTAAAAGCAAGAATGACGACAAAACGAAATATTGATTTGTGAAAAAGATCTGAAAATTTTTAAAAACAACACAAAACTGCTAGTTTCCACTAGTATATTATCCGGTACATTAAACTAATCTAATAAGTGTATCGTACCGTTAATCCATTGTTAATATATTCAATTTTCAATCTAATAGGTAAAGGTTTGTTTCTAAAATCTCTAATGCAATTTCCTTGTATTTGTCCACTTCCATCACGTTGATGATCATACTGTTTTGTGCCATCATTCACCATCACAGCGATAAACGGATTGTTTTGCTAATATTAAAAGAAAAAAAACAAAAATTTAGTAAATATAAATAAAAATATTTCTTTTCTTATCTTTAAATCTGTAATGGAGTTATTAATCAGCCATGCGCGCTAATACGAGCAAGCTGAGATTAAAACTCCAATCACTATTATTGATTAAGAGAAACATATCATTGCATGATTCTACAGACCAAGCTTTCTGCTGAATAACAGCACAATGAGAAACTTGAATGCATGTACTACTGTTTAACAACCAATTAGACAAGACAACTAAAATTTTAGTTATATTAATAAGGCCAACAACAACTCAAACAAGTATCTCAAGAGATATTTGCAGATGAAAGACAGCAAGAAAACTTGCCCTATTTACTTGGTTTTTGAATAGGGAGTTAAACTAGGTTTGCTGTACATTTATAAGAAGCAAGAAGATTGAGTACAGTACTTTCTTGTGCCGTATATAGAGTTTTTAAAATAAGTGTTGTTAATTTTTTCAAGTTGAGAAAATATAAGTAAAACAAAAATGAAGCTGCTCTTAGTAAAAAAAATAAAATTAGTGAAAATATTCAATTAGAAGTGTATTGAAATAGACATAATATCGACAACAACAATAACAACAACAATTATAGCAGTAGATAAGTACAAACGTATTTATTTTAAGAGGAAAGCAAGTGTTTTGATAAATGCTAACCTCTGCATAGTGTTTATATTAATCATTCATCATTACGGGTAATTTATATAAGTGAATCTAGTGCTTCTTTTCACAACAGACAAAAGCATTAGTGTTGTTGTGTTTTTACAACAAATAAAAATTTTAATTTCACATATAAAATAAAGAACTTACAGCTTGACGAGTCTGAAATACATGCATAGAGAGAAAAAGATGAGGATTCTGCACCATTTTTGGTTAAAAAAATCATCCATTTTTAATTTAGAACATATATACAATAAGTCAGATATCGAATATACTCTAGCAAAATGACAATTCTAGCAATGAACAAATTATATACTAAGAATATATATCACTTATTCGTTAATTCTTCCCTCTCCGTATATATTTGTATTAAATAATATAAAACGTAATAACCGACAATACACTAATGTCAATGTATCTACGAAAACAAAGAATACAGAAACCCGATTGGTAAAATGAGTGAAAAACAACATTTTCGGAATAAACTTATCTGAACATTAAAATGTTTTTCTTAAAAAGCGTTTTGCGTTAATTTTGTACAGTATTATACTCAATATCCATCTCCTCTTAACTACTTGAATAGGAAAAGGCTGTTTCTCTACTTAACTATAAGCAGCTTTTATTCTGATTTATTCACTTTTCCTTCTCTCCTTGAAAGACAACTGAATTATTTTCTCTTACCAGTGCGTCATTATCAAATGAATCTAAAAATATGCCTAAGCCTTTCCATTGATCGTTTGATCCAAATACTGGTCCTTCAACACCAGCCTGTTCTGTAAACCAAATAGCCTAAACAAAAACACGCAGAATGAAAAGTTATTGTTTGATAAATTGTTTAAAAAATTTTAAAAAAGCAACATACTAACCATTCCGTCAGCTCCAATCCTTCCTCGTCCTGTTACTCTTAATTTAACATCCAAAACCCAATTGTCTGCTCCTAATGTATTTTTACTCCAAATCCAACCTAAATAAAACACAAGAGAAGCGTTTAACACAGTATTAAGACTTTTGATCATTTTATACCTCTTTGGCTTCGAATAGATGGTGTAACCCGGACTTGATCTTCACTAGCAATGGCACCTGAATACATACACACAAGCTACAGTTTTGAGTTTTACGATATTTCATATAACATACTTCCACCAAATGTCCAAAATGGTACTGAGCCATCTTTGAATGCTAAATGTGGTCCTTTAAAACTAAGTTTATATTCGAAACGTTTTATTAATTGTGGATTTGTGGTAGATGGATCGATGTATGCCGAGGTAAACGTTATCAGAAACGATAAGATGAAACAAAATTGACTATAATGGAATGATGATGACGACGATAACATTGAGTAAGTGTTTAATGGTTCAAACAAAAGGGACAGAAGAATACGCAAAATCTGACGTTAAAAATAGCTGTTTCACAGAAAAGAATGTGGACGCACGGCGATAATCGCGGAAAAGTAAATCTTGTTTTATCTAAAAAAGAGTACTCATACTACTAGGACATTTTCCGTAATCTTACAAACCGAAATCAGTTCAAAGTAAACACCAGGAAAATTGTTTATTTATTCATTTATAACTCTGAGACGGGAATGATAATCTCTATGTCCATTCTATTAGTGTATGGACCGGTGACAAAAATCCAAAAAAGACAAACAGATTGGAGAAATTTGATTTACAGCTCTATTTCTGTAGAACTTTCATTCAATCAACTGCGTTTGTCCAACGCAAGAAAAGTGCACGAAATAAGAGACCTTTTTTAACCGATCTGCAGACTATACCATATAGCGTATAGCACACGTGTTTAACGTGGTCGACACCTCCTGATTTAACACACATCAAACGAACAACGAATCCTATTGCTGCAACGTTTCTATACTCGAGATCATCAGTTTAAATAGCTAAGTTAGTGCGAAGCGTGATCAGATGGTGTCTTTTCATTTCTCAAGTGTTGAGAGAACAAAGAAATAATTTTATTAGGCAACAACCGTGCAGAGCTCGAAAGTGTCTATTTCTAGTTTATGGAAAGTTTATTTATTTTTTATTTCATAGACAAGTGACATCTGTGCTGAAAAAATGGCTCGGTTCCAACCTCTATTTGCCTGAATAATTTGCTACAGAAAATTCTTCTCGAACTGCTAAGGAAGGTTTGATCCTAGTATTAGTATTATTATTAAGTCCAAAGAACACTTTACTTCTATTTGTGTGGCTTATGGCGCCGTGGTAGCTTGTATAGCTTATGTTTGAAAAAAGAACATGCATTTATCAATCTCCAATGTCGGGAGATTGTTCTCCCGTTTTCTACGTAGCATAGTTCTCTAGATCACGAGGTGCACATTTTGCCAAAAAAGGGACCAGACAAGAAAATAAACTAGAATGCAATTTCGCTGCGCACAAGCTGCGATGTCGACAGGCTCTGTCTCTGACGGAACCGCTCCAAGCAGATCCTACCAGTAGACTGTGAGCACTACATTTTTGCTTTAACCTACTCAATATATATTGAGTAAATCAAATCAATACAGATATATTTATCTAACATTTCGTCTCAAGAACAAATGGCCCCAGACAATCACCTCTTATAGATGCACGAAACGTTTCTAAGTCCAAAAAACATTTTATTTCTGCTTCTGTAGCTTATGCCGCCAAATCTGGACTTAGTTTTGGAAAAAGAACGCGCATTGATCAATCTCCAATGTCGGGAGAATATCGTACCCTTTCCAGAACTTTTCTAGCTTTCGTAGTTCTCTAGATTACGAGGTGCACATCTTGCTTAAAAAAGGGACGAAAGAAGAAAATAAACTAGAATGCAATTGTGCTGCGTACAAGTTGTGATATCGACAGACTGTGTCCTATCTGAATCTGTCAGAAGCGTAAATAGTGAATTTACCACATCACGTTCGTTGTGATTTAGTTACTTTAAAGATAGATTCAAGAAAAATGAAATGAAAACGAAATTTACAGAAGAGAGAGAGAATTGTTTTTCATCTTAAGAGCAAATGGCGCCGGACAACTGAATATGCGAAAAATTTCAAAGTCCAAAATACAGTTTTCTTTCACTCGTTGCGCTTATGGCATCGAATTCTCGTTTTGGAAAAAGAACACGCATTGATCAACCTCCAGTGTCGGGAGAATATCCTACCTTTTCCAGAGCTTTTCTAGCTTTCATAGTTCTCTAGATCAAGAGGCGCACATTTTGCCCAAAAACCGGACGAAAGAAGAAAATAAAATTAGAGAGAATAACAGAAATGAGCGAGAATTATTTTTCTTTTTAAGAACAAATGGCGCCGGACAACTGATGCTAATGAAATTTAAAAAACTTTCAAGTGCAAAACACATTTTTTTCCCACTTGTGTAGCTTATGGCGCCGAATATGGACTTATGTTCCAGAACTTTTCTAGCTTTCACAGTTGTCTAGATCACGAGGTACACATTTTACCCAAAAAAGGATGACAGAAGAAAATAAAAAATAAAATTTCAAGCAAAAACACATAATGTCTGCCGACATAAAAACATGAGCACGACAATAAATAAACTGAATAGAATTATAAATATTTGTTTAAATTTTGCTGCAACACCGTTGTGATCGTCACTGAAGACCGACGCACCAGCGAAACCACAAAAAAGAATTTTTGTTAAATCAACTTTTTCAGTTTTTAATTCTTTTACGATTACATCAAATATTGTTTGTGCATCTTTGCCTTTAATATATAACAAACTAATAAAAGTTCCATTTGTTTCGCCTGTTTCTTGATCATAATATCGGATATATACACAGTCAATGTCCGTACATTCATCTGACCAATTTTTGTTAATAATTGTTCATGAATAATTTTACTTACTATTTGTAATAATTCTGTTACAATTGTTATATTGTCATAACTCGCATTTTTTTATATTTATCAAAAATATTGATAAATTATTACTATAATCAACTTTTGATAATAATTCTAATAAAGATGAATACAGCGATGTGTGAGGCAATTTATTTTTAAACAAAAAATATGCTGCGTCTAATATATCATACATTCCTAAGCAAGAGATAAAGATTTAAGAAGAGTTTCTCGAGATTTCTAACACGTTACGTTGACGGGCTTCATGTCATTTGGCTAAATTCATAGTTAATAATTGTTGTAAAACTGAACCCTTTTCTCCTCTATATGATAAATTTTGTACTGCTGTTTTACGATAATCTGACTGCTGATGGTTTTTTAATTTACCACAAGGACCGGATACATTTTTCCAGTATGTAAATGGTACTGTACAGAAAACACTTTTAGTCCTTGAATTCACCTCTCTAAATAAGGGAGTTGCTGGTTTCCAATAATGTTCATAGACTGAACAAAATTTTACTTTATTTTGTTCATTCACTAGTCAGCGATAGTCTTGTGCATACCACTTTCCATGAGGTTTTTTTGATACCAAAAAACCGTGTTTTTTAGCGTTAAAGTCCTACAATTTATCGATAAAAGTGCCACGCGTTGTGATGAACCACAGATTTTATATTGTTGTAAAGTGTTAACAGATTCTGTTTCGTTGTAAGGTATTAAATGATTGAAATAGCGCGCTTTAACGGGATATGTTATTTCTTACATTGCAACACGGTAATTCTTCGTAACTAACGCGTTTAACGTACTTTAACGAGCGCAACGAGATAAAAGTCGTAAAACAAAGCAGGGAAACTAGGTATGAAATTAAAGAAACATCAATAACGAGATAAGAACGGCAACGAGGTCAGCAGATGAAAATTGTTCGCAAAATACGTTCCAGTTTGTGTTTCAAAAGTGTGACAGGATCGCGGCAGGATTACATTAAGATCGCATCTAATTCACGACAAGAACTTGAGGAGATTTTATCTTTGCTTACTGTTAAGGAAAATTTTTCAAATTAACTATTCTTTGTCGTCTTCTGACTTCCTTTAGGTATTTTCTTGAAACAGAAAGAAAGCGAGAACGTAAATGCTTATTATATCATTCTATTCCTTAAACTATCAAAGTACAAAATCAATCCTTGCCAGAGTTGCCAGCTGTTTAGTAGAGATCTGCGGGACAGTCCCGGTTCCACGGGACTTTTTACGGGACAGGGACCTAGAGATCTAACCTAACCTAGTCTATAGGTTAGGTTTAGATTACGATTTCTATAGGTTAGGTTAGGTTTAGGTTATGAAATCTGTTATAGGTTGTAGGTTACGCCATTGATAACCTATTTTTAACCTAAACGAAAAAAATCGATTTTGAACGACCATATTAAAACAGCCACCACTTTGAGTAATAAAGTGTAGTCCGAGTAGAATTTTATCAATTGAGGATGAAGTTCAGACTGAGGTTCTCTAGTTTAAACTGAACTATTTTAAACTGAAAAATAGCAGAATCAGAAAAGGAAGTACAGAGAAAAAACTTCTGCTTGCTAAAAATAGATGGCAAATACACAGCAACAACAGAACCTTCGAAGCATCGAGAGCCTAAAGTGGAATTCTGGTCTACTCTTAAGAGGGTCTCCCAATTCAGAAAGCTATTTTCCAAAGATTACATTAAAGAATAAAACACTTAACCGATTCATTTCTATATTCATGTAAAATGTCATTTACTTTGTATAAGCTTACCTTTCAGACGTTGTTTAGATAAAAAACAATGACGATATGGAAGAAAGCTGAAGTTTAGGCTTCTGAAACCAGGTTTTAGGGAAAACTTGCAAAAGGTTATATTAGGTTATGTTTAGGTTGTGAAAATTTTTATAGGTTAGGGTATAGATTGTCAAAAAGTCGTAACCTGCAGGGCTCTAGATCCCAGTCCTGCGGGATGGTTTCGGTCCCGTAGGACTTTTAATGCGACTGGGACCAGGTTTTTTTGAAAATAGTCTTGTATAAAGCATAAAAATTTCTTAGTTTCTGTGCTTGTTGTATGCAGACACCAGTTCCGCGAGAAAGAAGTCAGAAAATTCTAAAAGTCTTCAGTTACTACCATCCCCGCATGCTGTTCCACGTGCCACATTACAACGCGCTGACTTTCAAACTATCAGCGCTACTTTGAAAAAATATTTACGAGACCACGAAACCGGAACCCAAAACGAGTTCTTTCCATGGGTCCGGAACCAAATTTCAGACCTCTACTGCTTAGGTCAGAAAAGCGGAATAAGAAGTCGAAAAAGCGGAAATTTTTTGCAAAATGCGGTAAAGAAGCAGAAATACATTTTTCATCGCGTTAGTTTAGTTCCTTTTCACCAAATGCAAAGGGTATCAAAAAAATTTTTATAGTGCTTTATGGTGGTTCCACTTAAGAAGCACAACAGAAGTACAAAACGTCATTTAAATTCCAATTTGAGTCGCTAATGGTTTTTTGTGGATGCGTAG